ACCCAGGGGTTTTTTTAATTATTATTATTTTTTAAACCATGAGTCATACTTAGAACTTTGAAATGCCTTCCCATTGAGAATAAAATCCAAAATTATTTTCCAAGTATTAGGGCTACATATAATCTGAGGTGTACCCACATGCCAAACTTACTGTGTTAAGCTTTGCTTATATGCACCAGCTACACTATCTTTTAGATTCCTCAAAAAACATCTTGGTCACCTTTTATTTTCATGTTCACTATTATTCATTGTCTATATCCTTCACTAAAATATAAAATTCCCAAGAACAGAAAATGTGTGTGTCTTATTCCGTGCTCTAATCCAAGCACCTAAGACAGTGCCTGGCACATAATAGATGCCAAGTATGTGTTAAATGAACTTGCTTTCTGCATACATTAGCTCCTTTTAGAAATTAAATAAAAAATGAAGAACAAGCTCAAGTATTTAAAAAAATTATACATACATTTTAATTTAATTTATCTATTTTGAAAAGCTTTAAATTTGTTTAATGGGTGTCATTCTGGTATCGTACTATGGTTAATTGCCTTCATTTTATCCATTTGTGTTACACAGTATGATATGTTGATTTGGTGTGCTGCTCTTATTTATTCATATATAAATTGTAACCCCAAAATATCAACAGAATACACAGAAGAAAAGTTATAGCAGAAAGCTAGCCCATAAATATAAGTAGAAATACCACTGAGTTCTATGCCCCAGAGTTCTATGAGAAAGTTCTGAACTTTTGGATGAAGAAAATAAACAGCATGAGCAGAACTAGAGTGGACATTTTATTTGGGTATGCCTGGAGTTCATTCAAATATATACAATTATTATTTTCTATTAACATTTATTTTCTTTTAAGTTTTAATAGTTTTAAGCTTCTTAGCAACTTAGAGCTTTAATTATATCATAAGCTTAGACAAATCTCTTTCCTTTTTCCTAAGAAAAATCATGACATATCTCCAGTCAGGTATTACTCCTGTTTTACATTCACTTTTCAACAAACTGGGATAGAGATGATAGAGAGAAGGAGGGCAGTTGCAATGAGAAAATAGGTGCATTTTGTTCTTATGATTTTCTTTGATTCTCTCTAAAGACAAGATATTAAATGACCTTTGGTTCATATTCTAATTAGTAAACTTATTCAGATAAATAATTGCTCACTTAAGTAAACAATATAGTTAAAAGTATTCAAAATCATAGCTCAATCAATAAAAGTAAATAATGATATAACAAAATAATATATCAAACACTTATTTAATACTATTTTTAGGATATTCTATAAAGTCCTTTAATTCTTCTATTTAATAAATGAATTTAAATTCACAATTCTATGAGAAGTTCTATGTTTATTCCTGTGATTCCGTTGAAAAATAAATGGAGCCTCAGAGAGGTTAAATAAAGTTTCTATGCTAGTAGATGAAAGATTGGGTTGCAAATTAGGGAAATCTTTCTTTCTCAGCCTATAAAAATGAATTTCCTCAGGACTTGATTTTTCCTGCCTTCTCTCTGTATCCTTATTTTAAGACTAATCAGCATGTGGTTTACACCTACTGTGATGGATTGCCATGGTTACCTAATTTAACAATACAGTGAACTTAAAAAACATTTCTGTAGCCATTCATTTCTAGGTGGCTTTGACTGAACATTTAAAAATATAGCACAGAATAATACTTATCACTGATACATCATTTGTACAAAATGGATCTTTCAGATTTAACATGCATTTATATAAGTAATTGTAGGTGCTGATAAAAGGCAATTTATCAATATTAAGTCACTTAATCCTTATTACAACATTATGAATGGATACTAATTATTATCCTCATTTCACTAATGATTCCAGCTGATGTTATAGATGCGTATGAGAAAGCTAATGCTTTGACTTGATTCTAGTCTGAGAATTCTCATCATACTCAACTAGAATTATTCCTCTCAAGGATTTTACTGAGGTATTATCTATGCTACAGTTAATTATTAGATTTTATTCTGATTTGTGCAATTTAAGTCCAGTTAATAATATTCATGCATCTTTGAGTAGAAATCACACACTGGAATGTAATTCTAGAACATTTCTACAGTGGAAGCCTTTGGATGTTGAGTAAGAGAGACCTCAAAAAAAGCAGTTGAAGTAGTTAATCACTGCCAAGAGTAAAGGTGTGTTTTTATGACACAAACACAGGTTGGGTGCAGTGTGGCTTACACCTGTAATCTCAGCATGTTGGGAAGCCAACGCAAGCAGATTTCTTGAGATCAGGAGTTCAGGACCAGGCTGGGGAACATGGCAAAACCCTGCCTCTACAAAAACTACAAAACTTAGTTGGGTGTGGTGGTGTCTGCCTATAGTCCCGGCTACTCGGGAGGCTGAGATGGGAGGATCACTTGAGCTTGGGAGGTTGAGGCTGCAGTGAACCATGATTGCACTACTGTACTGCAGCCTGGGTGACAGAGGAAGACAGACTTTGTCTCAAAAAAAAAAAAAAAAAAAAAAAAAAAAAAAAGATAAAAGATACAAATACAGCTGATCATACTTGCCTTGGATCCACATTCCAAGTTACCCAAACTGTGGGCCTTTTTTGCCTTAGTTATTTTATGCTACATGAGATCACCAAAGTCATCTTTATTTCAGTGTGTGTATATGTGTGCATACATATACATGCACATACATACAAGAAGGATACATTTCTGAGCATCTCTTCTAATCATTTTGGGCCTTATGACTACTCCTGGCCAATGGACAGAAGTTGAATTTGACATGTATCATTTCTAGATTAAGCAAAATGGAGCAGATTAGAATTACCCATTCATTCTTTTCCCTTATTGCAGTGATTCAAAAGCCAAATGCTCCAAATACATAAGTAAGAGTGTAAGCCACCTGGATCCCTAAACCACTGCTTGGACAGGGGCTGCCTTGCATCAGCACTGTGTACAAAACATGCATTTATGTGTTAAACTACTGAGATTTGAGAGCGCATTGATTATTACAGCATAATTTTATCTGCCAAGGACTCACCGGAAAGCAGTTTAGATTGTTTGAACTGAGTGAATTTAAGGTAGGAAACTGGTTACACAGACTAGACAAAGGAAGGAAATTGGATACACAGACTAGACAAAGCAAACAAGACAGTAAGGCAACCCAGAGATTAGTCACAAGAAGCTGCTACCCTTGAAAGAGAAGGACAATGGGAGAAGACGGTATTGACTCAGAAGCCAAGCCCATACAATGAGAGCTGGAACCACTGCAAGGCCTACCTGATGGAAATTAGAACAATGGAGGAAGGGGCTATCTAGTGGCAACTTGTAACAGATGTAACAGAAAGCAAAAGTGATGGGACAACCACAGTTCTCCCTTCTTCTCCTTCCCTAATCTGTCCGAGCTTTTCTTTGTCTTCTCCTGTCAAGAATCCAGAGGAAAATGGAGCTAGCGAATGTTCATGCAATCTAGACCAATGCAGGGGAGAGGCTTGAAGCAAAGTGTGAATCTTAAACAAAATGACTGTTGATTGGCACAACAGCCTAGACTAGTTTGGTTAGTAGACTGGCTTTGTGGGAAAGAGCAAAGAGAAAGTGTGAATTCCTCAGGTCTAAAGGATTAATCCTTCTATTTGTCAAAGTGAGAGTGCCAGTGATGGTACTGTAGATCAATAAACTCACTTATTTCTTGATTTTGGCAAATTCTTGGTGGAGAAAGGAAAGGGAAGAAGAATGTTGGTATGAGCAAAAAGTGGAGTATATTTTAAATGTTTCCTAGGCACCAATAGCTTCCCCAGGTTTTGGTCTTCTCTTTTAAATCAATGGGCTTAATAGTTATGCCTGTAGTGAACTAAGAATGTGGATATTGCTGTTGGAAGAAATTATCAGGGAATCAGAAAACCAGATCTTGAAGGGATGTGGGATTGCTTCCTGTGGCAGAGGCTATTGGTTTGCACCCAGTTTTATTTGGATTGATGTTACATTTAGCTAAAAAACACATGTTCCAACTGCCTAGCAGCAAGTTGAGACTGTGTCATTAAATAGTTGTTAGTAAATTTAGGAAAAATGCTTAAAGAGAACTGACTTAGCTGATAGACATTTTTATTACTTTTTTTTTTTTTTTTTGAGATGGAGTCTCGCTCTGTTGCCCAGGCTGGAGTGCAGTGGCGTGATTTTGGCTCACTGCAAGCTCTACCTCCTGGATTCAAACCATTCTCATGCCTCAGCCTCCCAGGGATTACAGGTGTGTGCTACCACGCCTGGCTAATTTTATTTTTTTTTAATTAATTTATTTTATTTTATTTCATTATTATTTTATTTTATTTTATTTTTTAGTGGATATAGGGTTTCACCATGTTGGTCAGGCTGGTCTTGAATTTCTGACCTCAGGCGATCCGACTGCCTCAGCTTCCCAAAGTGCTAGGATTACAGGTATGAGCCACCATGCCTAACAACATTTTTATTCTTATATTCTTCCCCTTTCTTGTTATTTGAAATGCTGAATTGACATTTGGAGCTCCAGTGGCCCTGTTAAACTATAACGTGAATCTCACGTATAGGTGTTATGTAGTAGAATGATATATCAGAAAAGGAGAGGAAACCTGGGTGCTAGATGAATACAGAGCCAGCAAAGCTACCTAACTGCATTCCTCTGGAGGTCTGTTATGTGAGCAGTACATATGAGTGTTTCAACTACTATTATTATTTTTGTTGTTGCATGCAGCCTAACTTAATCATTACAGTTTTTTTCTTTTTCCTCCTCCAATAGCTTCTATTCATCTACCTAAATCAATGAAGAAAAAGCGTAATTCAAGTGATGAAATATTTTACCCAATGTGACTAGACCGACATCTGTGGTGTATGATACCTGCCACCAAGTTGAGGGATTATCAAATGCACTGTATGGATCCTTTGCAGAAAAAAGAATGCAACAGGCTTGCCTTTGGATATTCAGCAGTCAAGTCTTGCATATTAACACATTTTTTTTTTCTTTCCACATGTCTCTTCCTGACTGACCCTATAAGAGTTCGGAGATGAGGGTTAATGGACTGACTGGTGATGGAAAAGATAGCTCAGAGATATTTCAAGCAGGCTGCAAGAATCTCCCAACTTCGTCCATCACAAATCCATCATTGATCCTGGATGCAGGCTTCAGCTGGCAAAGGAAAGGAAATACAGAGTTCAAAGCAAGGTGAGGAGGCTCATGGCCAAAAAATCCCATATGCAGAAAACTACTTATGGCCTACCCCAGCCCATATGGAAGTTCACTGCTTTTACCATTTAGAGTTCCCAAGAGACCCTGTCTGGAAGGAGAAATAAATCCCTATCCCCACTAACACCAGATCCTGCTTACTGCATGTGGGATATTACTCAGCAGGCACAGCTGCCTTTGCAGTTTTATATAAACATCTGAGGCCTTTTCTAAAGCATGAATCTCACTCTTTCTTTTGGAGCACTTTCCTACTAATTCCAAATTCCCTGCACATATATCATCTACAGAAACTGGGCCAACTGTAAATCATGTTAAAGGGTGAAAAGAGATGGTATTTGGGCCAGGATACAGGATGTCAAATATTTGAATCTTTCTCTCAATCCACTCTGCCCCAACTGCAATGTGCCTGAGAGATATGTGCACAGAGGGCAAACGAAGTGAAGGCATATTCTTCATCAGTATGTGGCTTTTGCTCTGAATCCCAATGTAATATCACTTCCTCAGGCAGTTACTAAATGGAACTGGCCCCAGATTCTCACCTGTCAAACCAGTGGGAGCAGATCCCACCACTGCAGACTTACGGTTTAACTTTGCATCACAAACCTTCCACCCATTAGGATGGAGGCCAAATAACAATTTCTGTCTTTGACAATGATCCATTCTTGGTGGAAGAAGGATGAGTGAGGTGAAGGCAGGGGCCAGTCTCATTTGGCTGCTAGATGTGCAAAGAATAGAACAGGAGCATTAGCTTTCTGTAAGAGGCCAATGTGAAGATGTTGTATTAATATTATTTATATCCCCTTCTTGAGGTATGAAATCTATTCACAGTTCATTAGAAAAGCTCCTTTAGCCTGCTTGATATCCATTCTCTTTTACTAGTTACAGTTCCCTGATTTTCCTTACTCCTAGCTTTATGTGGTTAAATAGAATCAATCCTACATTCAGAAGAACAAATATGATCCATGCCCAGGCAATCAAAGTATTTCATTCCTCCAGCTACAGTGACTTAAAGATGGCAATGAGACCCAGTGGAAGCCAATGAGTCTCAATTTTGGAACTTTCATTAGAGCCCTTGAGAAAGCAATCACATTTTCAAGGAGGGTTTCTGCAACTGTTGGCAGACATTTTATCATGGTTAAAGTCTTCCTGAGAATAGTGGCAACACAGTAACAAAATATCCCTAAATCTTTCAGTTTAATGAGGAAATTGTTTCCTTATCCTCCCTCCCTCCCTCCCTCCCTTCCTTCTTTCCTTCCTTCCTTCCTTCTTTCCTTCCTTTCTTCGTTCCTTCCTTCCTTCCTTCCTGCTTTCCCTCCTCCCTGTACTATTGTTGCTAAAGCACATTCAAGTTACATTTTTGTTGCACTTGTCTAATAGACTCTTTTTCGACATTTGCTACATGTCATGTTTTCCAGATGAAGTGCCTATTCTGCTTATATGTTAATTGAACATAGCTGGAAAATGTCTTACATCTTTTATTCATATATGCTGTTTTGGGGGTTGATAGGTTATATTGGGCTAATGATCCAGAGTCCAGTCTCAGTAAGCAAAGCCGCTGTGACGAGCTCTCATAAACGTGAAACTGCAGCTCTGCAGCATTAGCAGATTTCAGGAAATTTACTTGGAATCTATTATCCATTTATGGTTTTGCCATTCCATAAAAATAATGTTATCTTTGTTCTTTGAAATTTCTTCTATTTGACAGCAAAACTATCCATGTATTAATGTCATTTATTAATTGACATTTTTTCAACATAGCCCAGAGGATTGGTTTGTTTCTATTAGTGGTACAGCTTTTGGAAGGTGTTTCAGATATTTTGAGGCTCCCTATTGGGTCATTCAATTCAATTCTCCCGTAAATTACAGTTTATTTTACCCACTCTATAAGAAGGCCGGGACCGCGGACAGAGCATGAGTATTCATACTACTTTTCTCAGGCTATTGAACTTAGAGTTGGCAGGACATCTAGCCATCACTTAATAGAATGTCTGCTACTGAAATGTTGCAGATCCATGCTTCAAGTGAAAAAGTGAACCTTAAATATGTGCTTGAAGCTTTTCAGTGAATTGAAACCAAGAGTTCCAAGTTGTAGATGTATCAAGTTTCATTATTTGCTAGTCTCAAGCTGGCAGACTGGAGGGTTCCTGGCAGGCACTGTCTTCTGAATAAAATGCTCTCTCCAGGCTAAGCATGAAGCCATCTGTAACAGCTTAAATTGCTTTCTTAGTCACAAGGACAAAGTAATAGTGTGAGTGAAACAATTATTGCAAACCCTGAAAACTTGCTTTTGCCTCCAGAGCATCCTACCTGCTGGGGGTGGGGTGTTGTTGCATTCTGTTCTCCTTGTCTGAGAGCTCTCCCCTGCCTTCGTTCTGGCACTAACTGTCCCTCCAGCACTCTCACAAGGGGTCAGAACTACCTTTTTATTTTGTAGAAAAGGTTTTCCTGCAGACTACCCAAAATTTGTAGTAGAAAATCAACCAAGGCCATATTATTTACTCTATGGCAAACAGTCTGGAAATTTATTAAGCTTTGAGGGTAGGTCTCACACTTTCGAACCCTGACAGATAGGCTAGAGCCCTCTCTTAACTCTCCATGAAGCCTGGATTTGTATTAGTAGGCTAAATTACCCATTTCCACTCTTTCTATTCCCAGATACTTCTCAAGGGATCTAAAACTTCATCAGGTTAGAAAAATCACACCAAGCACCATATGACTTTTCCATCCTCTCTAATATTTGTTCATATTTCATATATAAGGTGTCTACACAGCCCCATGTAGCCCCTCATCACTGTATTCAAGAACCCCGAGGATTTACTGTGCTGGTGGACATTTGCATTCTCTATATATGACTGTCCCCTGACAATTTACATTTTTTTTTTTTTGATGTGTGATGTCCTATTATCATCCATTTGCAGACATAAGAAAGCTGGAATCACACATTATTTTAGACGTAGTAAGTTATGCTTCTCTAGTATATTATCTTTTGCAAAACAACACAAGTATAAAGAAATACCAGGACAAGTTTCCTCATCATTGTATAAGTTGGTAATATATATTTTTTCTTTTATTTCTCCAGGTAATTTCTAATAGAAACTATGTAGGCTTTGCATATTTCTTTATTCCAGCAAAATCTGACCTTTGCTACCCATTCTCTTTTCTCATAGTTTATTGTTAAGATTACATAGCATCCTTCACTTCTCCAATTTGACTCTAGGAAACTCTGTTCCCAAATTACCAAGTATCTGAGTCTACACCTACTTGCCCAATAGCTTATCATGACTAATGACTGTAGATGATGTGCCTGAAGACGAGGTGGGCAAATCTTTTGAAGAGGCTTTTTCTAATTGGCACCTGCCTAAGGCATCTGCTGTGGTATCACTTTTGGATATTTATTGTCAGTTTGCTAGAATCCAGCTGCTTTAAATACTTTGGACTCTCATTGCTTACTTGGATTCTGGGGCTTAACTCACAAATTTCTGTTGGGTGCAAGGGGGATAAATCTCACTAAGATGTATCTCTATTTTTTTTCCTCACAAGCCTGATTTGCTTTCCTTCTTTATCTCTCTGACAAATTCAGAGGCTTTATTTTCCATGCTATCAAAATCAGTGCTGGTCCACAATATTTTCATTCATAGTTTCATCTAGAATATTATCTTGTTTCTTTCTATAGCTAAGATAGCACCAAAGAGGCTTTGTCATAGTGAAGAAAATTGATGTCATTGAAATTATTATGCTCAGGTTAGCAGGAGTCAAATTCATTTTATGACTTTGATCTTCACACTTGAATGAAAAGAAAAGGTACACATGCTCTACAGCTTCAAGTAAGTGCATTGAGTTATATGTCTAAGAAAATGAAAGATTTATCTTTCCTGGAATAAGAGTTACCATAACTTTGGTGCCTATTAAATGCTGAGAGATTGATGTAAATTGGCTAAAGCAATCTTTATAGGAACCTGGTGAACACTGTTACCATTTTGCTGCTGAAGGAGTTGAGATTCAGACAGGCTGATATACCATTGTCACTGCATGACTATTTGTCATCCTCTATTAGCTCATCAAGTCTGCAGATTTAGAAATAACATTTTATCCACAGAGAGAATGGGTCTCAGGCTTTGTTTTTTCTTTAAGTGTGCTTTGATTCACTCATTTTATTCACCCACTCATTCAAATATAGTTACTTAGTGCCCCTTATATAGCAGATTGTACTAGGGCAGATATTCAGAAAAATAGTTCTTAAACTTTAAAGAACATCAAAATCATATGTTAAAAATGCAAATGTTCAGGATTTAAACCTACTAAATTAGACATTTTTGGGGGAGGAGGAAGAGGTAAATCTTAGATGATTATAGATTACCATTACAGGATAAAAAATATTATAATTCTTCTGTATCAGATAAAATTATTTTATTAATTAACATTTTCAAATCTCCTAAACCACTTAATTTCACCACAGCTCTCTGAGAGTATATAAGAAATGTAATATTTCATTTAATATGACATATGAATTCATATTAGTTTCTGACCTTTGTGAAATATATTGGCTTTGGTGTGTCAACCAAGTCCTCTAAAAATATAAAAGCAAGAAGGAGGAAACTACATGTTAATTAAAATTTAGTGAGAATCAGACTAACATCCAACTGAAAAATTCTGTAATACTTGTGTCTTCAAAAGTTTTTAGGGAAAGAGAAAGTTCTCCAGAAAACAAACAAACAAACAAACAAAAACAAAACTTTTTTCCAAAATTTTATGCTTGGCTAAACTAGCTTTTAAATGTCATGGCATATTTTAGACATATTTAGAAATGCAAGGTAAGACAGCTTCCTGTTATCCTTTCTGGAAAAAAATTACTTGTGTATGTACTGCATGACTAATAGAAAGAAATCCCAAATTAAGAAAATGTGTTACAAAAATAGATGACCATACAAAGAAAGCTTCAGGAGCTACCTGAGTAGTACAATACTCATCACTCGTTGCAT